ACGTGCAAAAATAGTATTTGCACCCAACAGTTACGCGAAGGTCAAAGGTCGCTGACCTTTGACTCGACAAATACAGCGCGACAGCAAGGACAAACAACTGACTCGTTATTGAGCAGTTGCCCGAGTCGTCACTGTATCGAACCGCAACAGCAACAGTAAAACTGTTATTTTCATCCTTTCATATTCCTTGTAATCTTATAAAAGATTTGTATCACCTCTTCTTTGATCAATCTATCTTGCCCTCACATACCAGCGCAAGGTGGTTCAAACATTCATCATTAAACGCTTCCGTAATTACATTGTTCCTATCTAGAGTTTAGCCTTGAAAATATCCTAAGGGCTTTTCTCAGCCCAACATATCTGACGGTCGCAAATGACCTCGCATAATTGATTTGAAGGTTGGAATGCGGGCAGGGACCAAAAATGATTTCGGCCCACCCTGTCAAATCAGGATACCATGCACCCCTTACCCTGACCCGTAGGGTAAAAACAGCAATCACGTTCGTCCGTCGTGGTGCTCCATCTTGACAAAGTCAGAAATGCTGTCTACAAAATATCCCGCAGCTGCGCTGACGTGAAAACCAACAAAACCTAGGTGTGCGTCGAGTGGTGATGCCCACGCGAAAACGCGTCGGTATGGAAATACCGATGATGAAAAAAGATGTTACATGCCCAAAAGCCTTTAAGGGCGAACCTATAGATGTAGCCTAGAAACCGCGACAAAAACTGATGTTACTCGAACTGTCAAATTTTGTCATCACACCACCAAATTTTTTGGTGGTACCTTCTGCAGCTGCAGCTCGCAATACATGACGTGGGCGAAAATGAACTCGTCTGTCATGGGCGGGTCGAGCTCGGCAATTTGTTGTTAATAGAGTTGTAATGGACCGTTCTGAAATCCCCTGGTCGTGAAATCAGGGTTGTGGCGAAAACTCGATGATGAAGGCGATTGATAGCGAATTCGAGTACGAGAGTTTGTGATGGTCGTCGCCCTAGTAACCGGATCAAAAATCACTCTGGTTGAAATCGTCTAGCGCAGGATCTGTGTCAGATGATGTCAACACCTCCGGCAGTTTTGTCTAGACTCGCCAAGCAGTTTGCCGCAATCCTCCGAGGTCTCGGGAAGAGATGAAAAAATTACAGCTGTCTCTCCCCCCTTTACTGTTGCCGCTGCCGCCTCCAGTTCGTCGTAAGTTGCTCCTACCCCTTGTAAACTCCGTGTAGTTCCCGCGATGTTGCCCCACGTCGTTGTCCCACGCGTTTAACCAAACGTTGAAATACTCCACAAAATTGTTGGCGCTTCTTGCCGTAGACTCGTAAGGCCTCGGGTAAGACTCTGTAATTTTCGAGGTTGAAAAAACACATGTGTTATTTCTCGGGTGCAGGAGCACTTCTCCTCCGAAATCTTCGATCGTACTGTAGCCGCCCACTCGGTCACTAGTAGTTTCCGTCACTTTACCCGACCCCAGCATATGGGTGTGTAATCGAAAATTGGGGACCTGCCCTGGGTTGTTCCAAGACCGAATTCCACGGAACCTAGTGGCATCAACGCCGTTGACCCCATTGTCGAAACTGCTCCCGCCAATGATGTTAACAAAATACCACGCAACTCCCAGTGATGCTTTGTAGATGTTCCCCCCATCGCATGTCGTCGGCAGGTAAGTCTCGAAGTTTCGGCTGCTCCCACTCCCCTTTTGTTGAAGAATTTCTCGGGGTGTACATTTAAACACCAAAAGGTCCTAGGTATCATTGCCGCTGTGTTTCTTGCCAGGCCCCTTCAAAAAGTGACCCTTCAGGCGAAGTCCCCCAACGACTCAACCGCACTCCAAGGATCGAAGGAACACCCGGAACTCCACTTCTATTTTTTTTGCAGTTCACCGCCCGAGGATTTTGAGAACCCTCGTTCACCCATCGACCGCTTTTTTTGGATGAGGCATTTGCCCGTGTTGCCCACGCAATAATTTGGCTACGGTGAAGGCGCAAAAAATATCGGAGTCGAGGTGCCTTATTAAAAGGAACTCACACCGATCAGTTTTGCAGCCCACTAGCCTATCACACCATGGAAGCCTGCAGGTACCAGCCTATGACACCGCTGTGTCGTCAATCTTGTAGACGCCCCGGTCAGAAGAAACCTTTATTCTGCAACCATTCTTCTTCGAAACTTCCCAAATTTTTCGCGTGCTGTTTCACCGAGCCCGCTTTTGTCAAAGTAGAACAGTGCCGCAACTCTTTTTTTTCTTGTTTTTTTTTTTTTTTCTGAAGAGCTGTTAAACGAGCACCAATCCAGGTTCATTTAACCAACACGGGGTAGGCTCGTGTTCACCCCCGTTATTCATTTGAATCAGGTCGATTGCATGAGTCGGAATCGACTCGGTGGGGATGGTGAGGCTTGGGCGACGGAGGGTCACAGATCGTTCACACTCGCTTTTAACCTTAAACGCCGTTTAATTGTAGGATGTTAGCCGCTGCCCCAGAAAACGACTTCTCTGGATGGGGAATACGCTCTCAAGATTGCCGGCCAGCTTGCAACAACACCAGGCATGCAGAGTCGCATGAGTCGTTTCCGAGGTGTACCGGCCTTCCTTTTCCTCGTCGCCTGCGCCCCACTTCTTCGTAAGTGCGATTTAGCCACTCTGCTTTCCGTTGCAGCCCGTAAGTGTCAGCGGGTCCAACGTTTTTGCTTGTCCACGTGCACTCCTGCCGAAATATTTGATGACGCGCCCGCCATGCAGTAAAAGCCGCTGCACTTAACAGGTCGGGCGGGACGGCAATTGGACCCCTCGTAAATCGGGTAGTTCGCATGTCGCGTTTCCTCGCCGCCAATATTTTCGGACGCAAAAATCCATTTGCGCCTGGTGAGTTCTTCCGACTGTCTTGTCTTCAACAGTTGCCTCTAAAATGTCGCCCACACTGATGCATGTTCGTTGTCACCAGCTGCCAAGCCACACTCCGCGAGTCACGCGTTCAAGATGATGACGAGCCACTGTCGTCTAACTGCCGCATGGGACGACTCCGAAATAGTCGTCCAGCCGTTGCCCCAAGTCCAATGTTGTCAGTTGCGACTCATGATGACAATCCCGTGATTTTCGTGCAGGTGCCGACGCAGGTCCGCTGGCACTAGCTGCCACACAAAAATAACTCTGAAATCGTCGCGACGCGGCGGAAATAACTCATGTTTGATGTCGCGACAGACACAACTTTCCATTGCCCGGGAGGAGGGAGGTCACGGTTGATCGCGACCGTTCAAGGCAAAGAGCTGGCAGTGCCAAGGAGTGCCCCGTAAAATTATGGCCACGAGGAGCAACTAACTCATTCTCCTGGCCGGATAACACCCAACTCCTGGACCCCAGAACATCCTTCCTCGTCCCCCCCACTCCCGAGGAGTAGTACACTCTAAAAGGTGGGGTAGGATAAGAAAGTAGCTCCGATACCAGGTATTATGAATGAACTTGCATAGTGCACAGAGTAACGAATAACGAGAATGTGAATTAAAGCATAAAAATACAAGGAAAGTAGCGAGTTTAAATAGAGGAAAACCTAGTTAGGCGAGGAGGTCGGGGAAGGATTGCTCACAAACGGTCGCGATTGGTGCGGAGGCGATTCGTTGTGGTTTGGGTGCTGAATTGTAGACCAACATAAAAATTATATGGCCCCGGACATGGCCCATTTTAAACATTTACATAACATATAAATCAACTGAAAATGATAAGGTGCCAGAGGATTTAAAACAGCGATTTTAATGGGGACAATGTCAATGTGATTATAAATAACAATTTTCTAAAATCATGGCATCACATTGAGTTGTATAGTCATAGCTAGCCTCGTACTTCGAGGGGTGCATTTTTTTATTCAACCGTTTTACATGGATTGATACAGCAGGAGTGACTATTGCGATGCGTAGCGATTAGTTGTAGCCGAGAAGAAGTCTGCTGACGAAATGGTAGATGTACGACATCATTGAGTAGTCGACGTCGGCCATTCGCAGGTCGGACTTTATTTGCTAATCGGCATGGGAAAAGAGATGCTCGTTCGGCCCAGTGCGCATGAGTTTCAAGAAACAAAAGCTCTAAGCACACCTCGCCGAACTTGCCACGTTGGTGGCACTCCCGCATAGCAACTTCTCGGGCTGGCAGGCTATTTTTCATCTCTCCAGCAACTACCGGATCGACTATGGTGTGTTGAGACAATATTTTTATATTTATTGTTAAAGACTGCTTGTAGAAATAGTTGCTGTTGCTATTTTGTTAAACTGTGTGGTGGTGTACCACATTGTTTCTGCTTCTTGCCTATTTGTACTGGTCGTGCTATATTTGAAACCTCTCCCTTTGATCAATCTTTTTCTTGATACCCCCCATGCACCGCGGCTTCGCCTGGTCGTGCGCATTCGGCTCGGCGCTTAGCCGCCTCGCCGGGTCACTCGCATTCACGCCGGTCCTTGACTACTCCGGCCACAACCACGGCTGCGCCGTCAGGACTTCCCGCTGCTTCCGCCTCGACAGCTTCGCCTTCCGAATCAAACGTCATCGGGGCGCATGCGGGTGTTGCGCTCCGTGGCCGCGGCGTCTCCCGTCGGCCTAGGACTGCGGCTGCCATTGACGGAATATTGGGAACAGACATGGGGGGGGGGAGGTGTTGTTGAAATGAACAGGCAGGAATGATTGAACTAGCAGTGAAATCAGTACAAGTACCTAACCCTAGAATTGTGTACCCCCTAAAGGCTAACCCACTGTAGCCTAAACAACCACAACATATATAATGTTTGACACACCCCCATAGGCAAAGTGGGGGAGAACAAGGGGTCACAAGACCAGTCAGAGCAAAGCAAAGCACAAGCAAGCTCAGGGTGGATCTCAAGGGATACCACACAAATTCCGAGCACAAGCAAGTGGTCACAAGACCAGTTCACATGCAGTTTGATAATATAGCAAGAGGTACAGTGATCACAACCTAGCAAGTAAAAGCATGCAGGGATATATATAGAGATCACAGTACAAGCAAAGTCAAGAAGTAAGCAAGTGAGGTCCAGTAGGCACAAGGCCTAGAAGAGTACAGAAACGCTGATGGTCACAAGGCTGAAGCGCCTTGGTGAACACATCAGCAGTGTTGGCCTGAGTGGCCACGTAACGCAGACAAAGCTGACCCCGCTGTTGCAGCTCACGAGCCAGAAAGTACCGCAGAGCGATGTGCTTCGTTCTGTGCTCCAGTCTGTGCTCGTGACACAAGGCAATGGCAGCCTTGTTGTCGACATACAGCACTGGAGGAGAACGAGGCCGCTCTCCCAAGTCGGTCAGCAGGTAGGTGAGCCAGCGTAGCTCCTGGGCTGCCATGGCTGTGGCGTAGATCTCAGCCTCACAACTGGAGCTGAGAACTGAAGAAGAACGTGTAGAACGCCAAGAAACTGAACCAGAGCCAAGGCTGAAGGTGTAACCCTGAGACAACCGCTGAGTAGCCTGGTCGTCCGCCCAAGAAGCGTCTGAGTGCCCAGTGAGAACAACTCGGTCTCGCCCTCCAAGCACTAGCCCCATGCCCGACGTACTGCACAAGTAGCGCAACACCCTCTTAGCGGCATCCATGTGCTCCTTCCGGTGACGGCCAGGAGCGACATAGCGTGCAAGGATGCTAAGAGGGTATGCAAGGTCAGGTCGAGTGCAGGTCATCAGGTACATGAGGCAGTCCACAAGCTCTGGATACGGGCCACTCGGCTCTACGGACTCATCCGAAGGCAGAGCTGAGAGCGAGTGACCGGTAGGCAGAGGAGTGGACTGAGGCGAGGAGTACGTGAAGCCGAAGCGCTGAAGGACCTGCTGCACCATGTGCGACTGAGTCAGGGTAATGGTGCGCCGTGCTCTGTCCCGGGTGATCCGCAAGCCAAGATAGCTTGTCAGTTCACCCAGGTCTGTGCACGTGTGTCTCTTCTGCAGCTCCGACTTCACGTGGGCGAGAGCCTGAGTGTCAGCAGTGGCAAAGACCAAGTCGTCGACGTACACGAGGATGTAGAACGGCGGCAGCGAAGTGTCTGTGCGCAGAAACAGCGACGGGTCAGCAGTAGAAGGCGCGAACCCAAGTGCCGCAAGTGTCATCCTCAGTGTGTCGTGCCACTCACGTGGTGCCTGGCGGAGACCGTAGACCGGCCGCCGGAGGCTCCACTGGGTGCCAGGAGGAAAAGTCCCAGTGAAGCCAGGAGGGCGGCGCAGCCAGATCTCCTCGTGCAGGCTACCCTGCAAGAAAGCAGTGCTGAAGTCAAGAGAGTGAAGCTCGTAGTCGCGCTGAGCGGCTATGTGCAGCAGCACCCGAAGAGTGGTCATCTTCGGGGTGGGGGAGAAGGTCTGGAAGAAGTCGACTCCCTCACGCTGACTGAAGCCTCGAGCCACGTAACGCGCCTTGAAGACAGGCGGAGAACCCGGCGGCCGCTTCACCCTGAAAATCCACATGCCACTGACGATGTTCGCCCCTGGTGGGGGAACTGCGTCGACGTAGGTGCCTGTGGACTTCCAGGAAGCCATCTCTGCGTCCATGGCTGTCTGCCACTGAGAGGAGTAGGGACCCGCTATCGCCTCTGCGTAAGAGCGCGGGGTCGGGATGTCTGGTGCATCCGGGTCTCCCTCAGGGGCAACTAGCAAGGACACGAGATGAGGCAAAGCAGCAGCAAAGCACTGGAACTCCTCCTGCCTGTCCTCAAGGACGTCTGTGCCAAGAGCACACTCACCCCCGACGGACGGAGGACAGACTGACTCAGACTCAGCAACTAGGCTAGCGGCGTAGTCTAGACGACAAGCGGCAGCAAAGTCAACTAACTCAGCGACGAGAGCAGACGCAGCAGAGGACTCAAAGGCAGGGTCAGTGACAACAGTAGCGAGTAGACGCGTGACAGTAGGACGGGCAGCACGAAGGGAGTCAGACTCCGGGTCAGAAAGAGTAGGAAGAGAGGACGCAGGAGGAGACGGCAAAGGGACACGCTGAGGAGCAGTGGAGGGACGCAGAGTCATGTAGTGAGTGCCAGGGACAGGAGGAGGACGCTCACGCGGGACACGACGACCAGTGCGAGCAGCACGAACAGGCGACGCAGGACGAGACTCAGGCTCACGACGCTCCGTAAGACCTCCTGTGGGACCAGTGTAAGGAGAAGGACCAGGGAGCGGCGAGGCAGGCGGTAACTGTGACTGTGACTGGACAGGCGGTGGACACTCTAAGGAGGGAGCAGGACAAGGAGGAGGAGGCTGACCAAGAACCTGCTGAAGGAGCGGAACGAAGTACGGCCGGGGCCGCGCAGCGCCACCAGCAGCAGCTCCAACGTCAGGGTCCGCAGCACCAGCAGCAGCTCCAACTCCAGGGTCCGCAGCACCAGCAGTAGCTCCAACGGCAGGGTCCGCAGCACCGGCAGCAGCTCCAACCCCAGGGTCCGCAGCACCAGCAGCAGCTCCAACTCCAGGGTCCGCAGCACTAGCAGCAGATCCAGCGTCAGGGTCCGCAGCACCAGCAGCAGCTCCAACTCCAGGGTCCGCAGCACCAGCAGCAGCGCCAACGCCCGGGTCCGCAGCACCAGCAGCAGCTCCAACGTCAGGGTCCGTGGCACCAGCAGCAGCTCGAACTCCAGGGTCCGCAGCACCAGCAGCAGCTCCAACGCCAGGGTCCGCAGCACCAGCAGCAGCACCTCCAGCAGCTCCAGGGTCCACGACACCAGGTGCGCCACTTCGGAGAGTGCAGCGCCGCTCGTACCACTCACGGATCCGCTCAAGAGAGGGCAGCTCCCGCTGAGGGGGGAAAGCACCAGCACCTGTCCCAGTAGAGCCCCGGGCTCCAGAGGCACCTCTCCTGAGGCTGCAGTACTCTGAGTACCACTCACGCAGCTGCTCCGAGGAGAGAGCTCCTCCAGGTGTAGGACTCCCAGGCTCAGCACCCCCAGACTCAGAACCCCCAGACACCGGACTCCGCGTCTCAGCACCCCCAGGCTCAGCACCCCCAGGCTCAGTACCCTCAGGCTCAGCACTCCCAGGCTCAGCACCCCCAGGCTCAGCACCCCCAGGCTCAGCACCCCCAGGCTTAGCACCCCCAGGCTCAGCACCCTCAGACTCAGCACCCCCAGGCTCAGCACCCCCAGACGCAGCACCCCCAGGTCCCGCACCCGCAGCAGGGCGAGAGTCAACAGCTACCTCAACAGGCTCAACCGGGTCTACCTGGGACACACCTGAGGGAGCGGCACCCTGAGGGGGGAGGGGGTCTACCACAGCAGCACCTGGTGCGAGGAAGAGAGGCGGGGGGGGGAGCGGGGCAGTGCGGTAGGGGAAGAGGCGGTAGTAGGGGACGGACTCGTCAAAAGTGACGTCCTGAGAGGGGAGGACCCGGCGCGAGGTGGCGTGGTAAAACTGCCAACCAGACGCGTCAGGGACAAAGCCAAGGAAGACGCAGGGAACAGCGCGGGAGGAGAGCTTGTCCGTGGACGTATCGCGGACAAAAGCTCGAGATCCCCAGACCCGGAAACGCGACGCATTGCCAACCTCCCCCGTCCACAGCAGTGTGGGCGAGGTCTCCGGCATGGAGACACGGGGCCAGAGGTTGAGCTGATGCGCAGCGTACTGGACCGCAAACGGCCACAGAAAGTGGGGGGCAGCCGCATGGATCAGGGAGGTACGAGCGACCTCCATGACTAGGCCAATGCGGCGCTCCGCAACCCCATTATGCTGTGGAGAGGCCGGAAGCGTGAACGACTGCTCAATGCCGTGCTCAGCACAGTAGGCTGCCAAGAGGTCGGAGGAGAACTCACCGCCTCTGTCAGAGTGCAAGCGCAGGACAAGAAAGTCCGAGTGGAAACGCTCGCTGAGCTGGAGACGAGCTCTGCGGATCCAAGGGATCAAAACATCAGGGACCTCACCCTTGGTGCGCAAGGGGAAGACCGTGGTGTAGCGCGAGTAGTCGTCAACAACTATCAGGAAGTACCTCTCCTGACCCTGACCACGAACGCGGGCTGGGCCCCACACGTCCATGTGGAGCGTCTGCAAGGGAGCAGTCGTCGGGGGAAACGAGGAGGAGTGAGGAGCGGCGCGCTGCCGCCCCTCGACACAGGGAAGACAGGGAGGAGCAGGTGAGGGTGGGAGGGGAGGGAGAACCCTGGGAAGACCAGAGACAAGGTACCGGGAGTGCATGGCACGAAGGCGCTGCACAGACGGGTGGCCAAGTCGGTGGTGCCAGAGGACAGTCTCGTGCGCCAGAGAGCGACACGAGCAGGGGGCGGACAGCTGACCTGACGCAGACGTAGACGCAGCTACCTGAGGGGACTCAGTGGTGAGTGTGTACAGGTCCGACCCCGGCTGCCTAGTGAAGGTAGCCAAGTGGCGGCCCGTACGAGCACACGTGCAGTGTGTCACGCGCTCGTAGGCAGGGGTGAACTGGTGAACACCCGCGTCCTGGAGCGCACACCCTGCCACCAGGTTCGTAGAGAACGAGGGGAGGTGGAGACCGGACAGTGTGCCTGACGGGACCGCAGGACAGGGAAGGACAGTGGAGGAGGTCGCAACGACCGGGCCCCCAGAGGGGTCAGCGAGGGAGACAGCAACTGGCCGAGCAAGTGGCTCAAGGACAGTGCGGTCACGAAAGAAACAGCGAGAAGCACCAGAGTCCAGTGTGAAGGTGTCTAGTGCCTCCGTCGACTCAGTACCAGGGGGCGCAGACGCACAAGCACCTAGAGCAGCAGCCGCACCAGCACCTGGGGTAGCAGACACGCGAGTACCTGAAGCGGCAGACGCACTAGCCCTAATGCCCGGGTCGGGCGGAACACACAGGTACTCAGCACCCTCTCCACTAGTAGACATCACATACATGGCAGTGAGAATAGCATCAAAGTCTAGAGCATAGATATCAATCCCCTTCTTCAGGAGATCAACCCAGCGGGGCAGCTCAGTGGCCTGAGGGAACTGAACACGCCAAGCGTCGTTGAGGCGAGCGAAGCAGCGCTGCGTGGCGTGCGGTCCCCCACACGGCTGACCAGTGCGGTCACCAGTGCGAATGACGTAAGTGCACTGGCTAAAGCCACCCCCCCCCCCCCCCCCCCTTCCGTGCTGAGCGTACCACTCACGGACCTCCTGGGGCGACGGAGTGTGCTGCTGGCTCGAACCGCCGCCAGCGCCTCCACGACCACCACCTCCGCCCCCACCTCCTCGACCACCCCAACCCCTGCCGCCGCCGCGTCCACCGCCACCCCCACCACCGCCCCCGCCCCTTCCACCTCCCCCGCCACTGCCGCCACCACCTCCACCGCCGCCACTCGCCCCTCCAGCCCCGCCACCACCCCCACCGCCGCCACCGCCCCCACCACCTCCTCCCCCACCGTCACCTCCGCCTCCCTTGCCCCCTTTGCCCTTGCCGCTGCGGCGTCCGCTCGAAGCAGACGCAGTCCCGACCTTCTCAGCACCAAGGAGGTCGACAGCAGCAGCAGAGGCGACAGAGGGAAGAAGGGGGGAAGGAGAACACCCCTCAAAGAACGGGGTGCGGGGGTCACCACGAGAGGCACCTACAGCGACTATGCTAGCCTCAGCTGCAAGCAGTTCCTTCTCGAGGAGGGCAATGGTGAGCTCAGTAGGGCAGCGAGCTAGGAAGGAATCCCTGACTGCACGCAGAGAGTCAGGGAGGCGGGTGACAATGTGGTAGAGAGTGAGCCAGAGCGGGGGAGGGTTCTTGGCAAGGAACTCGGCGGGCATGGCAGCACGGAAGCGGGCCTCACTAGTACGGAGGTGCGTGATGAGGTCAGCGACTGTGTGGAAAGAGGACAGGTCGGGGAACAGGTAGGGAAGCGAGAGACGGCCTAGTGCGGCAGAGGCAGGCGAGGAGGAGCGGGCAACGACAGCTTTGTACAGGTCCTGTGCAGTCTTGTGCTTGCCGTGCTCACGTTCATCTATCGGCAGGGAGTTGCGAATAGCAAAGCGAGCGTGGGCGTCACGAGTCTGCCACTGTGAGTGGGTAGAGCTGTCAGCAGTAGTAGCAGGCGCAGGGGCATGTCCTAGGGCGTGATCGTACAGTGAGATGTCTTCCTTGGCAGTGAGCTGTAGGAAAAGGTGCAGATCATCTAGCCAGGTGTCAAATTTCACTGGACGTCCCTCAGTATCGAAAGCTAGCACAGGAGGGCTAGCCATAGTAGCAGTAGGAGCAGCAGTAGCAGTAGGTGCACCCTAACAGTAGTAGGCAGCGCGACTCAGGTAGGGCGGCTCGGTTTAGGGAGGCCGGTCAGGACGGGCGGCGCGGCTCGGTTCAGGTAGGGCGGCGCGGCTCGGTTAGGGCGGCGCGGCTCGGTGGTTTGGCGGGGCCGGGTCGGTCGCGTGCGGGGCAGTTAAGGGCAGCGGGTGGGGTCGACGGGGCCAGCGGGGCCTCTAAGGGGCGGTGCGCGGGGTCGACGGGGCCAGCGGGGCCTCTAAGGGGCGGCGCGCGGGGTCGACGGGGCCCCTAAAGGGCGGCGCGCGGGGCCGACGGGGCCATAGGGGGGCCTCTAGGGGCGGCGCGCGGGGCCGACGGGGCCTCTAAGGGGCTGCGACGGGGCCGTAAGGGGCCTCTAGGGGCGAGCGCGGGGCCGTAAGGGGCCGATAGGGGGCGAACGCGGGGCCGACGGGGTCGCTAAGGGGCGGGTCGCGGGTCGCGGGGCCTTAGGGGGCCGTGAAAAACGAGGCGCCCTAGGGCGCAGGTAGGTAGGTAGGTAGGTAGGTAGGTAGGTAGGTAGGTAGGTAGGTAGGTGGGCCCTAAAAAAAACGGTCCTAGCGAAGGACCTGCTCTGAAACCATGTTGAAATGAACAGGCAGGAATGATTGAACTAGCAGTGAAATCAGTACAAGTACCTAACCCTAGAATTGTGTACCCCCTAAAGGCTAACCCACTGTAGCCTAAACAACCACAACATATATAATGTTTGACAGGTGTTAGTGATCTGTTAAATTCAAATGACTCCGTGTTATGTGCTGAAATTGCAGGGATAATAGCGCAATCCGTCAAAGGTGCAATGAGAGACCAGTTCTATGAGTTTCTCGAGCGTACCCAATCGATGGTTGAGTCTCATCAGGATGCCCGAGCCTCCAAGAGGCGTAGAATTACGCCGCCAAGCGAGCGCGACGACGTGTCGGAGTGAAGCCAGCATCACGGGGCGAGGTGTGCGAAGCGTCCGCCATGGGTCCTTCCAGCCACCATGAATTGTGCTCACGCGGTTCGGACACGCGAGGACGAAACCCGAGGATGAGGTCGATGTTGTGAAGCGCGATGCAAGCAGAGACGCCTTGCGGGGCGCGGAAAACGTCACACTCGAGACGCCCGTCGAGGATGCGCCAACGGGTCTTGAGCCTCCCGTTGACTTGTTCGACGATCATCCGAGTGCGGGATTGCTGAAGATTCCACACCCGTTGCTCGTCAGGCAGCGGGCGACCAGGCAGGGCACGGTAGGGGGTGTAGATGTAGTTTCTGAGGCCGTAGGCTGCGTCTGCTACTAGTGTGTAGTCCAAGGTACCACCTTCTTCAATTTTCACTCTTGCCGGGCTGTTCATGAAAACATGCGCGTCGTTGACGCTTCCGGGGTAGCCAACGAAGAAGTCCCAATTGAGACCCATGCTGTCGCAGATAAGCTGGCAGATGATTGAGAAAAAACCCTTGCGGTTTCTGAAGTCCTCGCAGTGCGGTCCCATACCGCGACAGTATATGTAGGAGCCGTCAATGGCGCCTACCACACCAGGAATACCTCCACGTACACGAAATTCTGCTTCAAACAACTGCATCATGTCCAAGTCGGGCCAACACACCCACTTGGGCATGAGAACTTCATTCACACACCAGATGAACCTCGTGAAAAGCTTCTGAGCGTAAGAGTATGAACAGCCGAAGTGTAGACCAATTTCGCAAAATGTAAGTCCGTGACCAAGCCTGCTTAATCCCATGGCAACGAAGACGAATTGTGCACAGGATGCTTAAGCGTTGCGAAACGACTACGTTGATACTCCCGAACCAAATAGATAAAAACACGTTTGTCAACATGTAAGTACTCATAGAAATTGTCTTCGAGCAAAGGATGTTATCAGCCGAAACCAACGCACACGTGCGTCAAGTCGGTCGCCACGCACGAAGACACGGGACTGCCTGAGGGTGAAGGCTGAAACGATCGTGGGAAGCGCCGTACCAACAGCGTTGAGCACATGCAGCATAACCATTTGCAGGTATCCATGCCATACTATGCTGAGGAAACGAACGAGCCGGAGAAGCGTCATTGTCAGCGGTTGACAAATATCTGTGGTGCCACGGCGGCTATTTGTACCCAGAGATCATACGGAGTGCACAGCTGTGTTGGAGGTCTAGTTGGATGTAATCCGAGGCGCTCCAGGTTGATGTGTCGCGACGTCAAGTCTCTTGTACCGGGTAACCTACGGTTTTGAACGCGGCTCGGCGCGTTTTTTACAAGGTCGAATGTCGGGGTTCGACCTTGTATGTGCGATTGCATCTTTGCAGTGTTTGTTATAGATTAAGGATCGAGTCTACGAAGATTAGGAGCCTAAATTCCTCAAAATCGTTGGGCCTAGTTTCTGGACAGAAAAGTCGACTCCACAGGAAACGCCGTCGACGAAAAGGTGCACCGTTAGAATTACATCAAACTCGATTATGTTATAGCCCTTGACCGTGGCTATCATTCCCAATTTGAATCGTGTCAAAAGGTGGAGTAAATCTCGAGTTATGATTTTCGGCGCACTAGGGGGTATGCTGCCACAAGCTTAACTCAATCACAATAGTTCTCACAAGTTCTCAAAAGTTACACACAAGAGAGTTAGAGTAGCACTAAACCAGGTGGGAGGGAAGAGGAGGACGAGAGGGAAGGTCCCAAGGAGTCCCCAACCAAGGAAACCCCATAAGCACATCAAATCCCCTCCCCATGGCAACCCCACTTTTACCTTTTGTCACTTTCAAACCCATGCCATCCACCTCACCCCAACTTGGCCACACTTGCCAACCTGGTTTGGCTTCTCCCAACCACATGGCAGCATCTACAGTGATTGGCTCGAATTTCCCAGCCCCCAAAAGTCTGTACCCCATATAAAGTCAACCCCACAACTTCCCACAATCACCGCAACCAAAGTACAGAAAGCATACGAACTCCAACGTTCGTAACTTTCTTGTTCTTGCTCCGATTGCGACGATTCTTGGACCGTCGGAAAGCTCTTGAGCAGATGAGTCACTTCAGTTATCTGCCCAATTCCAATAACATTCACACACACTCAGAAAATCCAAACCACACCAAACACAAATTTCTTACACACGCACACACCACGCATGCAACGTATGAACACATGATGGGAGGCAGACAGACGTGAATGCGAATGATAGCATCACACAACAGTGTTATTCCGTCAAGGTGCGAACTTCGGTACAAGGAAAACTCAAATTCGATTCGAGTTAAGTTCAGAAGCGAAATTCGCTCTAAAAATATAAACTTTTGTCAATTTGATGGAACACACGCGCCCTAAGCTATAGCACGCGGTTTAACATGGTTTCAGAGCTTCTCGATCCTAAGTGCCTAATTTGAATTCTCTAAACAATGGCGCCACGCCACGATCGTCGCGGCCTCCTTCACGACGGTCGCAACAACCAGCGTGTTGAGCTTGGCGCTGGTCGTCGCGGTCCCGCGTGTGCACCCCGTCACGCGCTGCCATGTCGCCCCATCGCCCCCGTAGTATTGTTCCCCGTTGCCCCCGTCGCCCCACTTCCCGTGGCGCGTGTCAGTCCCGCTCGCATCGTCGCCCGCCCTTTCTGCTGCTACCGCGCTTTCTGGTGCGCGGAGCAGCGTTTGCAGCGCTTGTCGTTATTGCTGCCGCGGCTTCCGCCCAGAGGGGGAGGTGGGGGGGGGGGGGGGGGGGGGGGGGGGGTGGATGCAGCCGCAGCTGCCGCCACTTGTGCTGCTGTGCTACGCCCCCGTCCACCTTGTCCCTCTCCCTGCTGCTCGTGCAGCCAAGGAGGGGGTGGGGGGAGGGTGTGGGGGTGGTGGGTGTGACCAGCCAGCAGCCATCCCTCCACCTCTCCTCTCTTCCCCCCTCTGCTGCTCCTACTGCAGTGGGGTGGGGGGGGGGGGGGGGGGGTGAGCAGGTGGCGGGGGTGATGGGGGTGACCAGTCAACGCCAGTCTGCCAGTGACCGCTCTTCCTTCGTGTTTTCTATGTGTTTCCACTGCGCAAATCTGCTTCACGTTTTGCTTGTCCTCCTTGCAGCTGCCTCTGCTCGCCTACCTCGCGCCTACCGCACGTCTGCCATGCGCGTACCGCACATCTGCCCTGCGCCGGTTTAGTTGTTGCCTGGGCAATCGTTGAGCACCAGCTTACTTGCACTATTTGTTGCAGACAGTCAGGGAGTGTGTCAAACGATATATTTATATGTATTATGTTTTTGACTTCCGATAGAAATAGTTACCGAGGAATTTTGTTAAATTGTCCAGTGGTATACCTATTGTTTTTTGCCTATTTGTACTGGTCGTGCCGTAGTGGAAAACCCTCTCTTTGGCCAATCTTTCTCTCGACACTCCCTCTCACGCCATGTTCTTAGAACACTAAGTTCCTAAGGTTCCTAAGTTATTGCACGCGTTTTAACATGGTGGTCCACACGTTTGTCGGCCTAACAACCACTTAGCTAATGCACAACCGGTGATATGAAAGTCTTTTGCGGGGCCGTCCACATTCACCGCACCATGTTTG